ATATTATATTCCCATTCACATTAACCTTAATTTTTTGAAACCTTTTCGATAAAAAGGTGTGGATCCACCTTAACGCACTAACGGGTTAGCATGACCTAGTGGAAGCTAACGACAGCATAATAAGAAGAGGATCAACGAATGTATGTAGCGGAAATAAGAATGTTTAAATGGATGGGTAGAGTGAGAAGTATAAAATCAAGAATAAATACATTTGCGTGCATAGAAATCGGCCCACTGTAAACTTTTGACTTTAACTATATTTTTTTCAAGAAATATTCATCAGATCACAAAAACAAATATACTGTTTGAAAGACAATTTAATATGCTTTAATGTGAGTATAAATTTATCATGAAGAGAGAAAAGAGGGGAGCTTGATATTAGATATAAGAAATTGTATTGGCTGATTGTAAAAAATTCAACATTGTCAATTCATAATAAATTATCCATCTACAAGCAAGTACTGAGGCCAGTATGGGTATATGGGTGCCAACTCTGGGGCTGTACCAAAGCTAGTAATCTACTTATTATCCAGACATTTCAAAATAAAGTACTGAGAAACATTGTTGATGCTCCTTGGTATATCCGTAACAGCAACCTCCACCAGGACCTGGGTATGGAAACTGTGATCGAAATAATCAAGAGAACAGCAGCAAGTCACGAGCAGAGGCTGCATAGTCATGTGAATGTCGAGGCAATCCAGCTTCTTGACAACACTGAACTAAAGAGAAGACTCATAAATTTGACCATTTGAGTTAGTGTAAATGTGTAACAGTTTAGTGTAAAAAGCAGAGTATAGTGCTGTGAAGTTATTGCATGCTAGTTGTAGTGCATTAGTTAATAGATAAAATAAGAGGAAACCATAGGATAAGCCCTTAGATTTAAGTATTTGCTGTTATTATGTTAGGTCAGAAATATACAAGCGCAGGTGTTAATAATAAAAAAAAAAGATTATTACGTTGCCTGTCGTCTCGTTGCCTGTCAAGAAAAAAATTGCTCTGCACGCCAGCGAGGTCTATTTGACCGAGAATTTTAACGTGACTGTGGTGCCGTCTCCGCCTATTTGACCGAGGCAGACCGACATTACAGGCTATATAAAGGTACCTCTGCGTATCGTGGCGTCAGCGGTTTTTAGACCATATAGCAGAAATGGCATTGGCGTGAACGGAAATTATTACAAATTCCTCTAAGGCGTGCAACGTGTTAAAAGAATAACAAGACAAATTCAATCCAAAATACAATCTAAATTACCTCGTATATACCCATTTTGTTGCAGTCAACTTCATTTTTCCAGCATCATGACCCAGGACAACCGCCGACACACAGATACATACCAAATTCACTGAATACTCAAGACAAAACACTACATATCTTATCACAGTAGGATTATAAAGATACCGTTTTATTGTGTTGTATTATAATTATAAATATGATGAATCAGCGGACCTTAAGAAGTTTTAAGCTTTGTTTACTCGAATCTAATGAGCCTGAGAGGTTATAAAAGCTTATCTTATAAGTAGGTACAGGACCAGACTTTCGTTATTTAATCTTTAGATACCACAGGTGCCGCTTAGTCTACTAAAATTTAGATAATTATTAGAAACACTCGATTGAGAATAAAGTTTCGTAATCGATTGTGTAAAATAGAAAAATATGGATGGAAACTTACGACAACGACACCTGGCAAAGAAAATGACTTTTATGAAAAAACACTCACGGCATGGCTCACAAAACAACGGAAATTTTAACTGAAATAACGAAGCAACAAATGGACATCATAGTGCTCTCTGAAACCAAAAAAGAAAGGCCAAGGAAATGAACAGATTAAAGACTACATTCATATATGGTCAGAAACACGTACATTCTAAATCAAGGGTCTCAATTCTTATAAAATAATTGTTCAAAAAATATATAAAAGACTATGCGTACATTTCTGAAAGAATTCTGACAATGACTGTCACATATCACAATGACTAGAGTCTATGCGTCAACAGACGATTCAAATCAACAAGTTAAAGATTCCTTTTATGAAGAGTTATCAAATATTTGTGATAAAATAAAAAGTCATTAAGAAATAATAGTGTTAGGAGACTTAAATGCCAGAGTAGGTTCTCAAATAGACGATGACGTGGTGGGACGGCACGGAGAAATAGTTAAAAATGGTTCAGGGGACAGCTTAATTGAGTTCTGTCAGCTTTTTCTGTCATTTTTGTCAGTAGTTATCGCATAAATCTGAATTAAGTTCATTTTTCCATGGGTTGTCAATAGCTGCAGCATTATAATTCTTTCGGATATCGAACGAAACCTGTTACTGATCTCGTTACTTTTTCACTAAGTATCATAGCAACTTCATATATGTGTTGAGTGTCGGTGCTTTCAGAGTAATAAATTCGTCCATTGTCTGTATTGAGTTCGCTAGAGCTGACCCATCTTGTATCGCTTATTCATAATATATCAATCTCCAGTCGCATCATCTCTTGCTGTATATTCCTCAGTTTCCCAGGTTCATACATTCCATGTAGCGATTTTGCAGATGAATTTGTATATATTTAGTGAACAGGGATTTCGCTGGCTAACGGCCTGGGAAGCCCTGTCGTTATTGTTGTTTCTTTCCCTGCCGAATCTTGGCATCCGAGAACCATGGTTAGTAGGTCGTTGATTGCCATTTTTATAAGCCATGACGATTTCTAGGGATATTCCATAAGTCTTTAATGCAGTGGTTTCCCGTTGCCTTCTGCATTCTTCTGCCGTTGAACCGATTTATTGGTTCTTCCGTTTTGGAGTCGATTTCTCAGCTCCAGGACAAAAGAGTGTCCTACTACCTACCGACTCATCCGCCCGAAGCCGTTGGTCGGTAAACAGGGGATTGCTTATACCGGCAATCATTCGGTGAATTACCTGTTGGTCGACGGGAGGTATTTTATTTCCCTCCTACCCACCGGTAAACCGGGTCGAGCATTCCCCTATCCGCCACCTGGGAGAATTCCTAGGAGTTACAGGTTCTCCCGAGAGGAAGATACTGGATTCCATCAAAATAAGAAAACTACAATATCTGGGTCATGTAACACGTGGTGACAGATACGAATTCCTAAAACTTATAATACAGAGCAAGATTCAGGAAAAGCGCAGCATAGGTAGAAGAAGAATGTCCTGGCTGAGAAACCTCCGAAGTGAATGGTTTGGATGCAGGTCAACTGAACTCTTTCGGCCTGTAGTGTCAAAAGTTAGAATAGCAGTGATATAGCACGTAAAGAAGAATAATTTGTGCTGACCAAATTTTAATCTGCTAAAATGCATCGTGAATGCGTCTGTCGTTGCAGCTTTCTAACTATTAAGGACTGCAATTACCTATTGCACGGAAAGCTATCAAAATGTTATAAACCGATATTATTTTAATATATTCTTATTCGTAAAATTCATATTTGACTTGCGCCTCCGGACAATTAGTACATCAAGTTACATTTATGAGTCACCCTCCCCAATTTCTTGTCGTGGTATAGCGGGCAGAAGTTGTAATAAACTTTTTGCTTATTTTTGGTCTGGAATATTTTCCAGTAAACTACACTGAATCGTATTTACAAGAGCATGAGATAAACCGGAAAAAATTATAATATAATATATAAAATATATGCACAATACCTTTCCTAAACTGTTCAAGCACGAATTGTAGATTCGCCAGTGCTGCGGCTTGTTTTGTATTCTCATCTTCGGCGTCTGAGATCTGCTTTCGCAAAGAGTCTCTTTCCGTTATAGCTGTCTGCAACTGACTCTGAAGTGACTCCACTTGCTGGTTGGCTCTTATACTGACAGATGTATACATGGTACTGGAACTTTTTTCTCTTTCTTCGATATCTGCTACCTTCGCCTTCAAAGCTGCGTTTTTCTGTTCAGCTTGGAAAAGTTCTTGAGTGTAATGCTCTTCTAGCTCTATCAAATGAGCCTGAAGCCTATCTACCTTCTTTTGGAGGGACGTTTCTTTTTCAGAAGGCACCGATCTCTCTGCTAATAACTTTTGTGTTTGAGCTTGTTCTTCAAGAAGATTCTTTGCCAGAACTTCACATTTTTCTTTAAGGAAATTGTTTTGGTCCGTCAATTTTTCTATTTCACTGTTTTTGGATTCAATATCTTCTGGGGAAACAGCCGTTTTTAATTTTGCTTCCAAATTTTTATATTTTTCGGCTTCAGCTATTAACACTTGGTTCAGTTTTTGGATTTCGTTATGGTACGTAACGTTTTCCTGGTGTTTCATGGTTACCATGTTGATGAGTTCATTGCGGGAATTTGTGATTTCTTGTAGTTGATTTTGCAGCACAGATATTTTTTCTGTAGTTTCTTTTAGCTGAGACTGAATTTGGGTTAGTTTGTTCAGTTCTGCCTGCAAATTTGCTTTTTCTAAAACAGTTTGGTCTAAAATTAGTTTTAAGTTATTATAATCACTATTTCCTGGCATCTCATCCGTTACATTCTGTACTTCTTTTTGCACACTATCGGTCTTGGCAACTTCCAACTGTTTTTCTAAATCTGTCACCAAATTGTTTAGTTCCCTTATCTTTTGTTCATTAGTATCATTAATTGTCTTAAATTCTTCTTGTTCTATTAACAATTTATCGTTTTGGTTTTGTAATTCGACAAAATTGTTTTGGAATTCAGCTACATCTCGATTTGTTTTGTCTAAAGCTATTTCTATATTGTATCGTTCATCTGCTTGGGCTGCCAATTCGTTGTTCTTCTGTTCAAGTTGTAATTTTAATGTAGTTTCTGTCATTTTCGCATTTTTTAACTTTTCAGTAATGTTTTCAACCTGCAATTCCAAAGCTTTTTTACCATTTTCCTCTGATACTAGTTTTTCTTCCAAAACGTTTATTTTACTTTCAAAGTCTAGGTATTTCTTTAAATTTTCGTCACTCTGGAGTTTGATATTAGAATTTTCACTGAGAAGCATCTTGAATTTTTGTCTGAATTCCTCTATTTCATCCTTCATACTATCAGAATTGATGTTAAGTTCACTAAGTTGATATTCCATATTTTCATTATCTGTTTTTAGTTTTTCAATTGCAGATTTTAGCTCGACATTTTCTTCATCGGTGAACACTAAATTTTCTTTAACTTCTTCTAATTCTCTTTTTAAAGATTCATAATCAACTTGCAACTGATCGAAATTGTTCAACAAATCCTGATACTCTTTTTGTTTGGTGGTAATTTCTGTTTCAGTAACACTAAGTTGTTTGACAGCATTTTCTAGATCACTGCCACTTTCTTCTAAACTATCTTTTCGCATCTGGCTTCTTTCTAGGTCATCAATAATTTTTTCCAAATCCTCGATTCTTCTGTTAGCATTTTCGAGTTGCGTCTCCAGAAGAATCATATTGTCTTCATTGGACTCAGATATTGTTTGTAGTCCGGGATGATTTTTGTATGCCTCAAGCTCAGTAATCAATAGATCATTGTTTTTTGCGAGTTCGTTACATTCGTTTTCGAATTCTTTTGCTGCTTGTGCGTTAGATGATACTTCTTGTTGAAGTCCATCAGATCGTTCCAATAGTTTTTTAATTTCTTCATTCTTTTCTGCTAAAATTGTGCTTTTTTCTTCTGATAGATCTTGTAAACGTTTTTCCAGTTCATTACATTTACTTGTTAGTTCCGTAATGGTGTTAATGATTCTTTTGATACAGCTACCTAATTCACGTTCTTGAGGATCTTCGTCAATATCTAGGATATTGTCGCATTTGTCAAATTTCTCCAGACTTTCCGTTATCATATTAACATATTTTTGCTGAAGACTTTCTAGTGCAACTTTATGGTTGTGTTTTAACTCTTCGAGTAGTTCTTGTGAGTCTTTGAGCTCTCTAGTAAGACTTAGCTTTTCTTCTTCCAAGTTTTCAACCTTCTGGGTATCAGCTATGTTTCGCGATTCCTCTTTTCTTAACTGTTCTAACTCCTCTCTGAGCACGCTGATCTGTGCTTCATGCTCTGTTTGTATGTCTTCTAATTCGCTTTCTAAATCGCCATCCATTCTTCCTGCAGCTTTTACCAACAAATCTTCGTTAAGTTTTTTGAGTTCTTCTTTCTGCAGCGTGCAATTTTCTAGTTCTCGTTTTTGGTTTTCAACGGTATCCTCTAAAGCTTTAACAAAGGAAGAATCAATACTAGTTGCCTTTAATTCATTATTTTCTTTTTCTAAATTAGTTATATATTTTTTGTTGTCTTCTACAATTTCTTCCAGCTTTTTGATCGTATTTGAATCTTTAGTGTGTTCCGCAGTTAACTGCTGAACTTGTCCATTTAAAGCTGAAAGTTGCTGATCGTGATCAACTGTGGATTTTTCTAGCTCTTCTTTCAAAAAACGGACTTGTTCTTCGTAAGTCTCAAGAATAATAGCTAGTTTTTGGACGTTTTCTTCGTCTTCGATACTCTTCTTTTCAAATACTAATATCTTGTCGTTGGCTTTCTTTAATTCAGAGTAAATAAGCTTGTTTTCACTTTCTAGTTTTTTGAGGTGCTCTTTTTCGCTGGATTCGCCTAATTTTTTAGTATCTTCTAAAACTTTCTCAACAGCTTGATTAGAAGTTTGTAAGACACTCATCTCCTTTTTTAATTCTTCGAGCTCACTAATTAGCTTACGATTCTCTTCTTCAAGCTCTCTGGATTTTTGATTAACTTCCTCGTTGTACCTTTCAACGTTTTCTCCTTGTTCTGTACGTTGAAGCCTTTCTATCTCTTTCTTCATAGCTTGTTCTTTAGCAGCTAGAGCTTTATTATCTTTTTTTACTTTAAGAAAATTTTCGTTGACGTCGTTCAGTTGGAATTGTAATTTTTCCTTCATCTCCATGATGTTGGCCAAATTCTCTTGATTATCAGCGTCTAGTTGGTCCAGTTGACCCAGTAAGTCAGATTTTTCATTTTCTAGTACATGTATTTGCTTTCTCAGGTCGGATATAGTATCTTGTGGTGTCGTGCTGGATGAATCCTCTGCCCAGTTCCAAGATCCATTGGAAGATGCATTGTGGGGTTGGGTCTGCAAAAAAATATATAAATTAGATGACTTATTATGAAATGTGTACACAATTTTTTTAAATATAATGTTGCATATTATATATTTTCAGACTGTACAATAAAATTTTCGATGTGATCACACCTGTCAATTTATTGTTTGAAAAGAAACTATTATAATTATAATTTAGTTAGTTATTACATTATAACCTTTTATTTTTAGAATATTTTTATTAATTTCAATCATTCTTATGATACGCCCCTGGGGAACTGACTTTTTTGTTTGATGTTACTCATTTGCTAAGATACATATTCATGGCCTACTAGACCTTCGAAACAACACTGTCTGTATGGTCGTATTATAAAATATGTAAAAAGTAAAAAGGCGATACGGGTCACAGGAAATTCTTCGGCTAAGTGTTAACAATGTTTAAATATTTGTACCCCGAATTTTAGTCAAAAGTGCTGCGAGCTCGTAATCAGAGTAAACAAACCTCAAGTTGGGCATGGAATGTAGATGTTACTGTTCTATCGGGACAAAAAAATTTAATGTGTATATTTGTCTGTTTTTTATTGTGAAAATGATGTGGAGGGGGGTTACAACATTCAAATAAGAGGCAAATTTGATAAAAACTCCAGATGACGAAGAAATTTGGTTTTAAATGGATGGTTGGCCCTGAGCAAAACAGATGGGAGGTTAAGAAATTCCTAAAAAAAACAGTATGAATAATTGTTTGGTTAGACCTAGACCTAACTGTAACATTAAGTAGCCTCCAAAATCGGGAGATCTAGCTCTGGGACATCTAAGATTCCAATTTTATTTTCCAAAAATTTACAGATATTAAAGCATTAAAAATGCGATTTAATGAAGAGTGTGTAAAAAGAACGCCAAGCGTTTTAGCTAATGTTAGATAAGAAATTTACAATGCATTGGGATACTGCTTAGTACAAAATAGCAAATTGTTCTATTCGTTCGTTAACCTTTTAAGTTCACCGTGGGGTCATATTTACCCCAGCTACTATATAAATCATGATATTTTGAAAATCTAACGAGATACAGGGGTCTACAAGTGTATATTTTTGCAAATTTTTGGAATGTGTTTAATTGATAGAACAATTTTAGCATTAGTTTTTAATACAGATTTCAGTAGTCTGCAAATAATATCATATCATGACTTTTGATGTAAAATAATTAGGGAAGTGTGTATAATATAACTAATACATGTGAAATTCCAGTCGAAATTTTTCACGATTGTCTTTCACACGAAACTCATCAATATAGAAGTTTAAAGAGTGGAAATTAGAGTAACATTTACGGGAACTGATTCTTGCTAGAATCTAAACGTGGGAATTGGAATTATAATCAACAAAATAAAGTTAGAAAGCGAGAATATAGGTCATTTACGCATTACATAACCGATTTTTCCAGATTAGCTAAATATCTACTATGTATATTTACTTTTTAACGGCTTCCTGTCTTCAAATTGATGTTTTTTTATAGATATAGGCCCTACCGTTACTACGAAATAAGCGCATACATAATGATAAGAGGTTATTATCAAAACGGTTGAAGTTTTTATTTACATGACAATCAGCGTTATTCTCCCCCACGTCATGGTTGGATATTATATGTCTGTGGTGACATATCGTATTGCGTGAAGCGTTGTTATAAAATGTAAGTATGATAAGTCTTATGTATTGCATATTTTCTCTGTATAGTGGGTTTGTTGATGCCAGCACATTCTTTTGAAATGATGAATTTGAAAAACGTTACTAACGAAAACAAATTAACAAAGAATCTTAGATCTAATTATATTAAGTCTTGTTAGTTTATCAAATACTCGTATATTAACAATTTGTTAATACGGTCATAAACCGCCATACTCAAATATCTCATCAGAGTGGCCATTACAGCCTCAATTACCAACAGTCCAATAAACAAAAAATAAAATGGAAAGTAATTCGTTTCAAAACGAATCGTTGAAAAAATTGAAGTTTTGGTATCAAAATGTGGATTTATGTCAAAAGTATCAGTTTAAAATAACGGGGTCATTGTTTAAACATTGATTTTATAGAAAAAATCGCCAAAAATTACTTTTTCCGCAAATCGCCAGGAAATTTTGACATTCCTGTCAAAATTTCTTGAAGAAAAAGTCAGGACTTCCTTACTGTAAGGAAATGATATTTCCGTACAGTTGTTAGTGTTCTACATAAATGATAGAAAACACATTGCTTATAAGGAATTAATGTAATTAATTAATTAATTATTATTATTAATTAATTAATAATTATAAGTATGCCATTACAACATTTTCTGAGAAAGAACTCGTATTTTTACTCATGCGATAATCCATAAAACGTCTGTATGCATTTTCGTACTTTTCTCTTGATTTCTTTGGCAATAATTCTAATGAAGCAGTATTCACTGCCTCAACCAGCTCTGGAGGAGTCCCAGGAATGGAAATTTCATCATCACTTATCATTTTACTTTCGAGAACACCAGCAATTAACCCTAGAACAGCACAGTTCGTTCATCTAACATAGACTGCACAGTGGGGTCTCGAAAACCCTAATTGTTTTTTTTTAGTAATAAATGTTATGAATTTTTTTTCTGCGGTATGTAGTACAAAACAACAAACAACAATATCTTATTTTCAAAATATATTTATTAAAAAAAAACATTTCTCATTAGATCTGATAAACGTGGAAAAACATAAACTAGTGCTTTTATTACACTTTATTGAAAATATGGAGATACGACCAAAAAAATTAAACAAAATTCCAGTGAAATAAAACTTTTCTCTTAAAAGCCCTTTAAACTAAAATAAAATATAAATGTTGTTACAAGATAATTATTTCTTACTCTTAGCCAGGCACTTCAACTTTGGTTCTGACACATATAACATAATTGAGCCCGATGTTCTAAACAGTACGGTTTGTGGCACAACGAACAAGCAGAACTCGTTTTTCGATCCCTTCCACGAGGACAAAAGCAGCATCTAACCTTTTTAGGCAAACTAACATCAAAATTATCTCTTTGAGGTACACCAACTCCTAATATTTCGCTAATTTTTACACGTAGGGTTGTTGGCAAATTGGTAACTTGTAGTCTTTCCCTTAAGTGCGGTTCAATTAATGCAGTTGAAAGTTCTTTTAAAAATGTTTTTCTATCGTGTTTTCGGTCATCTTTCCATTGGGGATTTGCAAGTGAAAATAGAACCATAGCATTTATTCCGCTAGCATCCAACATATTGAAAAACATTCTGAGAGGCCAGCGTCTAGTTTTACGGGAAGTCGTGTAAGAGTGGCACATCTGATCAAAGGTGTCTGTGCCACCCTTTGTTTCATTGTAGGAATGTACAAGATTTGGTTTTCCGGTCAAGGTATTAAGTGATGAATCAGGATGCAAAGTTGATAAAAGTAGTACCACTTTATTTTCCTTTGGAGTGTACGAAACTAGCGTTTTGTTTCTGTCGAAAGCAAATATGGATGTGCCTACATCTTTTTTTTGTGTAAACTTCGGAGGTATTTCCCTTTTATTTTTTCGCAACGTTCCAAGGATTGTTAGCTGATACTGTTCCATCATTTGTTCACTTAGAGGTATTGACGTGAACCAGTTATCCATTGTTATGTTACGGTGAGTACCGTGTATTGGTTCAGAAAGTTTTCTGACATAATATGTAGGAACTGACTCATTATTCTCAACATCAACTTTTCCAACGTATGGAATGGCATTCAGCATATAAAATGTCTTCGAATCATTTATCATCATTACTTTCATTCCATATTTATCAGGTTTGCTGGCCATGTAAATTCGGAATGGACATTTTCCACGAAAACTCACGAGCTGCTCATCAATTGTACAGTTCTCATAGGGCGTGTAGTATAGCTTGCAATTATTTATAAAAATGTCCCATATTTGGCGAATATGGGTAAACTTGTCAACCAATTTTCTAGCATTTCTGTCTGTTTTGTCGTCAAACCTCAAGCAAAGAGCTAAAAACTGAAATCTTTGTTGGGGCATGGTTGCCCGAAATAGCCCATTGCCATATTTTATTGACCAAAGCTCATCTAAATTACAATTTGAGACTCGTAATGCACCAGCGAGATACAGCAAACCAATACATGCTTTGACTTCTATGTTGTTGGTTATTTTTTTGTAACTCTGCGGCAAGCCACTCTGACACTTCCTAAGAATTTCTTGATTTGTATGCAGCACAATAATGTCCACAATCTCTTGAGAAAATAGTAAATTCCAAGATTCAACAGGGCTACTAACATTTCTTGCTTCATTTTTTAGACCAGGCAAATGTAAAACGATGTTATCCTTTCTTGGACGTCCTTGTCGTGCTGGTGCCTGTGTGGTCCAACGATGACCATTTTTTCCCAGTATACTGGCGATATTTCTTTGCGAGGTATTGGGTTCTGTTTGTTCTTCTTCATTATCGTCGTCACTTTGTTGTTCGTTATCAGTGTCAGACTGATGTTCAGGAACATAAAGATCGTCTTCATCTGATGAGTCTCCAAAATCATCTTCGATGGTCTCTGGTTCATTTTCATTCGCCCACAGGTTTTCAGCTTCCCACTCTAATTCTTTTCTGGTTAGTGGACGCTGATATTTTCTCTTAGAATCTGCCATACTAGCAAATAACAAAAAATCACCTCAAAATTTTAACACCGTTTAACTGCACACTGGGGTCCGAAGTACCCACAGATCTACTAAAAGCGTCACAGTAAACTATACAACAAACTTACGCGGCGCAGCGACTGTCTCTCAACGTAGTCGGCTCTTAACTGAATTTACGTGCAAGGGATTGCCAAAAGACGCAGACATGCGCAAGTTACATTGAACGATTCATGCGCCTGGGTTTTTCAGACCCCAGTGTGCAGTTCTAGGGTTAAATTTATAAGCGTCAAGTTTGACAATTCAACCTCAATACGTTTCCATAGTAACCCAAGTAATTTTATTAGGAATTTCAAAGCACCATTTATTTGGGAATAAAATTATCGCGTTTTTTTTTTAAA